AGTCTCTGCCTTTGGCTCAGGTCATGATCCTAGGGTCCTGGGATCAAGCCCCACATCAGGCTCTCTGCTTAGCGGGGAGCCTGTTTCTCCCTCTCTCTCTGCCTACCTCTCTGCCTACTTGTGATCTCTGTCTGTCAAATAAAAAATAAAATCTTAAAAAAAAAAAAAAAAAAGAAAGAACTGGAAAGGAATCTATGCCTTTTAGGTGGTATGAGGTAGCTTCTAGAAAGACAGAAACAAACTGTGATGGCTTTGCTAGAGTGGAAAAGGGGCATTTAGGGAAGCACGCCAATGGTCTCCTCTGGGTAAAATTGCCCTACGGACAATTTTAAAGAAAAGTTTTCTAAAAAGAAAGCACTCATGCCAAAATTAGTTGAAAAACATAACAACTTTTACTGTAATTTTATTTATGGATATTACTTTTAAATGTTTTAGTTCATGAAAACCAGAAAACATATATTCCTTCTGGAAAATACTATCTTAAAAGTACTTTCAAAACTAGCTTTTGAAAAATTGCTCTCAGAAAGATATAATAATGAATGTTTTCAGAATTGATAATTATATAAACAGAGAGGGTGGAAATACACAACTTAGGGTGTGCTGGCTACTTCATAAAATAAGTTTCATGATCACATGTGTTACTTAGCTTCAGAGAAACACATTTGTACATTAAAATCAACAACCATAAGCAGAAACCCCTTTCCTTATTGTTGAAAATCTCTGTCAAGACCTGTTTTGTATTCCATTTCTCAGTGTGCAATTCTACCCACCTCAGGCTTGGCATAACCCCAGTGTGCATCCTGAACTCCAAAACAAACAAAAATCACTAAGGGACCTGCTAAAGGCCAGTTAACATTGTAGGCTATTTTCACCAAAATGGGACCTGGTATCCTCACCATGACTCACTATTTGCTCATCTCCTGTGTTTATCCATTACCTGGAGGTTGCCTTTAGGTCTGTTTTGGTTGTCCTTTAGGGGCTGTAAACTCTGAGAGTCAGCATAGGGATTATTTTTTCCTCCGTTGTATACAGGAGGAGAAAAAACCTATTAGGAACAGGTCATGATCCTAGGGTCCTGGAATCGAGTCCCACATCAGGCTCCTTGCTCAGCAGGGATCCTGCTTCTCCCTCTGCCTGTTGCTTCCCCTACTTGTGCTCTCTGTGTCAAATAAATAAATAAAATCTTTAAAAAAGGAACATTTTCCTACAAAAAGAAAGAATTTGGTATTTTTAAAGTAAAAAGTTAATATTAACATTAAAGAAAATTTTATACATGTTTCATAGCCCTACTAATTGCCGCACAAGAATTTTGTAGTATCCTGCCACCAGGGCCCTTCATTTCTTGCACTGTTACAAAACCTAGGTATGACTGTTAAAAGAAGAGTGAATTAAGCATATTACCTAAACTAAGGTGAATACGGTAGGGTTGTCTTCCGCTCCTACCTTGAACTTTTCCTCCTGCATATTAGATTATGACTATGTATTGGTAGAAGATTTTTGATCTGGATTATAAATTGAATTTCAGAATATGACAACTCACTCTGGAAGTGAGTTAGCGTGTAAACCTGAACTGTGAAATAGAGGAAGTTTTAACTAATTGATTTTTAAGTATTTTTTTTTAATTATAGCAAAATGAACAGTACATAACATTTACCATCTTAGCCATTTTAAAGTGTACAGTTCAGTGGCGTTAAGTGAACTCACAATGTTGGCCACAATCCATTCATTTCCAAAACTTTTTCATTACCCCAATCTGGAAATTCTGTACCCATTAATTAATGACTCCGTATTTGCCCCTCTCTTCAGGGCCCTGGTAACCTCTATTACACTTTGTGACTCCATGAAACGGTCTATTCTAGAGACCTTAAATAACTAGAATTGTACAATATTTGTCCTTTGTGTCTTGTTTATTTCACTCAGCACATTTTCAAGGTTCATTTGCTTTGTGTCTTGTTTATTTCACTCAGCACGTTTTCAGGGTTCATTTGCGTTGTACCATGTGTCAGAGTTTCATTCCTTTCAAGGCTAAATAATGGTCTGTTGTATGTAGATTCTACATTTTGCTTATCCATTCATTGATTGATGGTCATCTGAGTTGTTTCCACCTTTTGGCTATTGTAAATAATGCTGCTTTGAACATGGGAGCACAGTTAGCTCTTTGAGTTCTCTTTCTTTTTTCTTTTTAAAATTATTTTGGGTATATCCCCAGAACAGAAGTTGCTGGATCATGTGGTAATTCTATGTTTAACTTTCTGAGGACCAAACCCTGTTTTGTTTTAATTTTTTTTAAAGACTGTTATTTATTTGAGAGAGGGAGAGTGTGCTCATGCAAGCGTGAATGGGGGAGGGGCAGAGGGAGAGAGAGAGAATTCTCAAGCTGACTCCCTGCCCCCCAATGTGGTGCCCGTCCCCCAAGCCATGATATCATGACTGGGTTGGACTAGTCGGGGAGGCTTTGCCTACCGAGCCACCCAGGCACCCCCTGTTTTAAAACTAATAGGAATCAGGGGTGCCTGGGTGGCTCAGTCTGTTCCGCAGCTGACTCTTTCTTGATTTTGGCTCAGGTCATGATCTCAGGATCCTGGGATCACACCCCTCCTCAGGCTCTGGGCTCTGGGCTCCTGGCTCCTGACTTAGTGGGGGGTCTGCTTGAGGATTTTCTCTCTTCTCTCCCTCTGCCCCTCGCTCCCCACACCCCCTCACGCTTGTGCAAGTGCACACACACTCTCTCCCAACTAAACAAATAAATCTTTAATGTAATAAATAAAGCTAATAAGAAACATAAAACTTCTCTGGGTTATCCTTGCTTAAACTTTGAGAGTCAAACCCAGTCCAACCAGCAGTCTCCTGCAAGCCCAGAAGCTCAGCGACAATCAGCAGTGGGTTGTGCCCAGGGCAGCTACAAGGGAAGCTGTTCCAGGAATTGTGAAAAATGCTGCCTGTCTCCCCTTCCTGAGGGGGTGCATCAGTGTACCCTGACTTTGCCTATTAGAGGAAGTCAAAGCATTTGAAGGGCATGTCTACCCTCCAGCTTAATAAAAAGAATGAAGAGTTCTAGAACAGGATAAAAGCCACAAGCCAGAAACCAAAAGCTTCAGAGGGATTAGAAGAGGCATTTTCAAAATAGTTCTAAGATAATGGAGATGGGAGAATGCTTAAGGCAGGTCTGGGCAGGCTGGAAAACACCAGGTGGGACAGGACCGGGGCAGATTTGACTGCAGCACTTTCCAGCACTCTGCAGATTTGAGACTGCAGTCTAGGTAAACAGGGGTCTGTAACTCCCCATTCACCTGTTATTATACTTTCTATTATAATTTCTATTATACTTTCTGATTCCATGAATTTGCCTATTTTAGGTATGCCATAGGAGTAAAATCATACAATATTTGTCCTTTTGTGTCTCATTTATTGCACTTAAACAAATAAGGGTCTGAGCTGTGAAACACCCTGTTGGAGGGGGGAAGGTGATGCATAGATCAGACATCAAAAGGCTTAAAGGCTGCTAGATAAATGCAAATTAGTATTCTTACTGATGCAACATTTACTTGGTTTTTGAGACTTTCCTTCCATCTCTGCCAGACAGATCTTCTAAAATCACCACTTGGTACATGACAGCTCCTCGTTCAAACTCTCTCTCCAGCTTCCCATTACTTATGATCTATGCCTCCCAAGGCTGGATAAGAGTTGCTCCCAAGGCCTCAGATAGACCCAGGGAAGCCTCAGCAGCACCACTTCTACTGAAAAGTATTTGGGAATGAGTGTGACTGTTACATCAGAGCAAACATGGGGATGTTATGGAGTGCAATACTGGCATGCAGTTTAAGGACGAAATGCTGGCTCTCAGATTTGGAGCTCTGCCCCCCTTGGCACAGCATATTACAGGAATAAGTTTACTTCCTTGGGCATCAGGGCCTCACCTTGGTAGAGCCTGGGAGCGGAAGGGGGCACAAATTAAGATTAAATTCTAAACTCCTTCATCTGGGCTATTAGAACTATCTCCCGCCCCTGGGAGCTATCACTTTGCTCTTCACTCCTTAACAGCTTCTGTTTTTAGTAAAGGCATTCTGAACCTTTCCGCAGGTATCCCAGCTCAGTCATTTCCTCCCGCAAATTAACACCTCTGTGCCTCACTTTTCTCATCTGGGTAACAGTAGGGTTGTGGGGAGGATTATGTGAGTTAAGGTGGTAATTTAGAACAGTGCCTGGCTAGCACAGCGTTCTCGGTCCGTGCCAGGCAACCTGTTACTATTGCTTTCCAGACGAAGGCCACCTCTTCCCTTCCTGCCTATGAACCACTCGTGTTCATCCGTTCATAGAGGTCCAGCCCAAGCCCACCTGTCCCTTCGCGCGCGCTGTCAGGGGAAGCTCCTCACTCTCAGCTCTCGGTGGCCATTTCAGAACTTGCTCAGATGCAAGGGATAAGCTAGCCCGAGCATCTGTTTATCAGGTTAGCTCCACGAAAACCGCCAGCGTATCGAGATAAGGAAAGGGAAGGATAGCGGCACGTCGTCCAGTCTCGAATCCTCGGAAAGGACAAAGCGCAGGGAAAAGCGGACGTTGCCTGCGCCTCCACGCCCCACATGTCCTCCCTTCCCGATCAAGCGCATCTCCTCGTATTACACCGGCGGGCGCCTCGGTCGCTCCTCCCGCGAGCGCGCGGCCGGCAGTGCGACTTTGGAGAAACCAGACGGCCACGGCGGGGTCTCACCGTCCTGCTCTCTCTCCCGAAGTTTAGCAACCCAGAGTAATGGGGGCCGTCCTCCGCCCTCTCCCCGTGGCGCCTGGCTGCTAAGAAAGCACAACGAGACCTTCCCTAGCGCCTTTGCCCCCCCCGCCAGCGCTCGGGGAGAGACATCCACCTGGGAGCCCGAGGCTCTGCGTCCCGGGCGGATCCCAGCGAGGGGCGGAGCTGGCCCAGCCCGGAATTCGCCCCGCCCCGCCCGGCTGTAAGCTGACCGTGTGGCAGCCAGGCGGGGGCTTGGAAGGAGGGAGAAGGGGAGGAGAGAAGAGGGTGGAAAGTGGATCCTGGCGGGCGGGAGGGAGGAAGGGAAGGGGCGGAGGCGGAGGGCAGAGTGTGGCTGAGCGTCCCGAGCCCAAGTCGCGGTCCCTTCGCGGAGCCCGCCCCTCCCGGGCCCAGAGCCGCCCTCCGGGCAGTCCCAAGCCACGACCTCCCCGCCCCCCACCCCGATCCCGGACAGCCCCGGGACTCGGCTGCGAGCGCCGCGGGAGGGATGGTGGCGGCGGTGCGCGGGTCAGCGCAGCCGCCAGCTTCTCCCGCCCGGCCGCGGGCGCTGTGAGCCGGGAATGCGGCTGCGGCCCCCGGCCCTCGGCCCCAGCGCTCCGGCCCCGGCCCTGGGCCCCCGCGGAGCCCGCCGTCCGCGCCGCTGCTGAGGCCGGGCGCCCCCACCATGCCGCGGGCCCCCGCGCCCCTGTACGCCTGCCTGCTCGGGCTCTGCTCGCTCGTGCCCAGCCTCCCAGGTAAGCCGGGCCCCCGCGGCGCAGAGAAACTGTCCGGCGTGCAGCCGCCCGCAGGCAGCGTGGAGGGCCGGGCGGGGTGCTCTGTAGGAAGGGGAGAGCGTCTTCTGGGCCCCCCAGGTGGGCGAGTCGCGGGGTACGGCCCGGCGGGGGGCTTGCGAGGTGCGTGCGCCACCCAGCGCGCAGCCTGCAGCCGCCCCGGCGCGCTGTTGTCCGCCGCGGGTCAGTCCCGGGCCGAGGAGGAGCCTTCCCTTCCTGTGTAAACAGCCTTGCCCGGCTGCTGACCGGCCCGCGTGCGCCCGCGTCCAGTGTCCCGGGAGGGCGGCCGCCAGCCCTGCGCGGGGGCCGGAGCGCCGCAGTCCCAGGCACAAAGCGGCCCTTGTGGCCGGCCGGGGGCGGGCGGGCTGCAGGGAGGCGCCGACGGATGCCGCGGGTGCCCCGGTGCTCAGAGAGGCGAAGGGCAGCAGGGCGGGGCGAGAGACCTGGAGTCCTGGCTGGAGCCGCGGCTACTCGGGACAGGGTCGTCTCTTGGAACTGCGGGTGCTCAGGGTGCCTTAGCATGTCCTAGGGTTTCACTGCACCCAGGCCGACCGCCTGCCTTTAAAGTTGTAATCCCCTCGCTTCCTCCCCCAAACCACCGCAAATCCCGGGGGAGACCGGCGTCCCAAGTCGCAGCTCCACCTGGACTTCCCGATCTGATTGCTTCTGCCTGGCTTTATCCGGGGATTTACACGCATTCGTCCCCCGCCCCCCCAACATTCCCCTAACTCTGGGGCGTTCGGGGCGGGAGGGTTAGGAGGTGTGCGATTGCTTTGGCGCGACTCTGCCAAGGGTTGGCAGCTGCGTGAGGAGCCCCCAGTTACCTGCTGTTAAGTTTTCCGAGTTGGGAGGCCCCAGAGGGAGGATGCTCTGTTTTGCGCCTGGCTGCCAGGCAGATAAGCTACCCCTAAGCCCTCCAAAAAAAAGCAGGAAGTTCCGATCTTTCCCCTTTCCCGGAGGAAATAATTGTGTGCTGGGGTGCTTCGTTGCTCCGTTGCCTTGCACACCCAAGATACTTGATTGCTCTTGTGCCTGGCTGCCAAGCGAGAGGGGACTGTTCCCCCGTGGCACCTCATTTAGGAAGGCAGTTGAAGGTTTACCCCTGAGAGAAGGACGGTTCTGGGCACACAAAAACTTCCTTTACGCTCGAATTCAGACTTAATACTCTAGCAAGATTTCTTTAATGGGAAAATAATCACTCTGGAGCTTGGAGCAGATCAGTGGTTTCCAAACACCCATCTGGCAGCCAGCGCCCATCGATGCTTTCCTGCGTCCTCAGGGAAATGCGAAGAGAAAGATGAAGTTGGTGTCAAACCCAGGAGTTTATCTTTGGCAGTGGTTCCCTGCCTCGCAAGGACTGTCCTTCAATTTGAAATTATGTCTTTTTTATTTTTGGTGGGAAAACTTCTTTTAATGATTTATAGTGATGATAGAGGTAGTTTTTATTTTTGGCAAAATAAAAATATCTGGCCATCCTGTATAAAGAGGCCATCCCTGCCTCTGTTTCTGTTTGTTTTCTTCTGTTCTGTTCATGTTCTGTGAAGTCCCAGAGTTTGGGAACTGCTAAAGGAGAGGATTTCTGAGTTTCCCTACAGCTTGACATTCTCTGATTCTAATAAAAACTCAAATGCTTCCAGTTGTGACGAATTCTTTTCATATATTGCTTTGCATTTGCGTTGTGGCTTCTGTTTTTCACAGTTCACGTGCATCTTCACGACCATCTCCATTCTTTCCGTCGGGCCCCAAAGGGTGAAGTGACTTGCCCACTCTCCTTGTCCGTGATCTCAAAGCTTTGTCCCACAGGACGCAGCTTAGGCCTGGAGAAAAGTGTGGAGCCATCGTGGTTTCTCTCCAACTCTTTCAGAGCCCGCTTTTCTTCTGCTTTTGCCCTGTGAGAACTCAGCCAGCCCGCTGCGGGCCAGCAGAGCCAAGGTACAGCAAGCCCATCGCTGGCTTCCAGACCTGTCCTCTCCCTCTTAGCCCTGGAGCGTCTCATGGTTAGATGGGGCTGACTCACATCTGTGTGATTTCTCCTAGCGCCCCAGTGTTGCTTCCAACAGAGTTCGAAACAGTTTTCCTTTCCTCTTCTTTCCCTTCACTTCTCTCCCTCTCGAAGCACCTCAGGTACTTTTTTCCCCAGAGCCTGTTTCCTGTCTTGCTACTAGGAACATGGTTGGAAAGAAAAACCTTCGTTGTCCAGTGAAAGAAGGAGGAGAACTAGGGGTGCCTGGGTGGCTCAGTGGGTTAAAGCCTCTGCCTTCGGCTCGGGTCATGATCCCGGGGTCCTGGGATCGAGCCCCACATCGGGCTCTCTGCTTCGTGGGGAGCCTGCTTCCCCCCCTCTCTCTCTGCTTGCCTCTCTGCCTACTTGTGATCTCTGTCTAATAAATAAATAAAATCTTAAAAAAAAAAAAAAAAGAAGGAGGAGACCTGCAGGGCCATGCCTACCCCAGGTGTCCTGAGACCAGGGGCCATGCTGTCCATCTGTTGCTTTCACCACACTTCCATCCCTGTGCCTAATCCAGCAGAAAACAGACTTATAATTTAAGAGCGCTCATTTCAAACAAGTCCCTGGCAGGTTGACAACCACCCCCCTACCCTTGTCCCAGCGTTATCTCCTGCTCTTCTCATCCCGTGGCCCAGAACCTCCAGACAGGACCTTTGGACACAAAAACCTTCCCACAGAACCAGGGAAGAGTTTCTCTGGGCCTTTGCCCTTCCAGAAGGAAGGGGGGCCAGCATTGATCTTGCTGCTGGAACTGGAGTCATGTTTGCTGTCATCGTTTGTGGAAAAAAAAAAAAAAAATCAAATGTTCTTTCAGGAAATGCCCTGCAAATTAGAATGCTCTGCTTCTTGAGACAGAGCCCTTTATTCTGTTCTGTGGGCTCCTGTTGGCGCACTCTCCCCTGCACCACAGGTTCCAGGGCCTGTGAGGGGGCCGCTGGAATTGGGCCTTGGCTTTGCACCTCTCTCCAGGTGACCGGGCCTGGCTTTAGAAATAACAGGGCAGCAGGGTCCAAACGGTGGCCTTGGTTTGGGGACTGCTCTTTACCTCAGGTATTTGCGTTTTAGCTCCCACCATCCTTGAATGAGGGGGGTGGTTTATAAAGGGAATTGAGGCAGAAGAGGGCAGGGTCTAATTAGGTCTAATTAGTATTCTCCTTCTGCTTGTTCTCCGTGCTTATTGCGCTACTGAGGCAACGGAGAATTACAATACCTAAGTGGTTGGCAGAAGGCTTTCTGTGCCCGCCTGCCTTGGTTACTGGTTTCACTTCTTCAGCCTGCTCCTGGAACTGTTCTGAAAAGTTTGAATGATACCAGTAACCCAGCACAGTTACGCACCGCTTCAGTAATGGCGTCGTTTTCATGCGGCAGCGTGCAGCTGGGTTCATGGGGGGGGGGGGTGTCTCTTTTTCCTCTTTTCACAGGTGTTTTCTGTTGCCTGGGGCAGGGGGAAGGCTTCAGAAAGCCCACTGCTATAGTTTGTTTGCTTTCTTTCCCGTGGCAATGGGATTAGTGGGCTTTATAGATATAAAGGAATACTTTATAGGCACCCACTGTTTGTGAGGCTGCTTCTTGCTTCTGTTGAATGCAGGGTTTGATTCCTGGGCCACCTGGTGAAGAGTCTGCCCCAAGGCAGGCCTTGACACATCCCTTATGTGGTGGCGGGGGAGGGGAGGTGTGTGGCACGCAGTCCTTACTGGATTCCCTCCCCAGCCCTCCTCCCCTTCCACCACCCAAGTTTTCCCCCTCCTCCCCAGATGGGGCCTGCTCCTGCACTTGTCCCCTTTTCCTGTTTGTAGCTCTCACTCAGAGTGATTCTGTTAAAACTCAAGTCAGATCCTGTTCCTCTGCTTAAAACCCTCCAGTGGCTTCCAGAAGTCCTGACAGTGTCCGGCCATGCCTCTGCATGCACTCTGACTTCCCTGACTTTATGTTTCTGGCCATTTCTGCTGGTGCCCTTAGCTCTCTCTCTGTTCCTTGCAGCACAGCAGGCCCCTCCTGGGGCCTGGGATACCCCCCTCCCTCCCCGTAGCTGCCTCCATCCTGCAGCCCTTTCTTGGTGGTCTCCTGCTCAGCTGGAGAGGTGTCCCTGGCCACTCCCAACTCAACCTCCTGCCCCACATTCCTCTAGCCTCTTTTCTTTAGGGATTTTTCTCTGCAGCCCTCATCCTCTCTGGTGCTCTCAGATCTTGTGTACTGTCCTCTTGTGTACTGTCCATCGCCTCCTGCGCCCACAAGAAGGATTCTCCTCCGACCAGAACCTAAGCACTGTGAGAGCCGGGAGCTGTTGACTTTATTACTGTGTTCTCTCTGCTTAGGATGGTGCCTGAGGCACACGGGTTCGATGCTTGGATGAACTTGAGTCTTGGGTAGGGCGGGTGGGGCTTGTTCTGTCCTCTGCTCTTTGTGCCTTCTATAACCAGTCTGGAGGTCAGGGACTGTGCATGCAGTGCACTAGTAGGAGACATTCTGGGAGAGAAAGAACACGTTTGAATGTGTCAAGGTGTCTGGAGCTGGGGGAGGTGATAGAGGCCATGGACCGCACCGCCTGAATTGCTTGCATGAGGCTACTGAGGCCTGGAAAGGATAAGTGATGTGCCAGAGGTCATGGAGGCAGGAAGTGGCTGAACCAGTGCTTGGATCTTTCCTGCCCAGGGTAGCCTATCCTTGCCCCCTATTTGCAGCTCAAATGTCCCCTCCTCGGTGAAGCTTTCTCTGCATCCTTTAGGTAGGTGGAATTGGCTTCTCCTTCCCTTGCTCCCATAGTACATTCTGTGAGACTAGAGGCTGGTGGGGGGTGGGGAAGGAGAGGGGAGGGGGTCCCCCTCACCTGCTAGGTGGCAAATTGCCTAGGTCTCATTTACCTTTAGGTTCCTGGTACAACTGCAATGGACCCCCCGCCCCTATCCCCCTACCTTATGGTTTCAGTATATTTAGAAAACCCCTCAACTTTCTAAAA